AAATCTGAGCAAGGAGGGGAAGGAGGAAGAGATGATATTGAACGAGGCCCAAGTAATGTGCTTAAACAAGCCGTAATATTTCTCTCGGTGGAATACCTTTGTTCCTACTTGCTTTCACACATTCACACACCAGAGGCCGGCACACAAACACGGCAGCTTCCTCAGCTCTCTCTCTTTGCAGAGTTCCCTAGAAATCCCACAGCTAGCCGATACATCCATAGGAATTGTTCGCTGTCACTCTTTTTTTTCAAATGCAAACCCTCCTCTCCCCCCCCAGTCTCCCACTGTTTCTAATAGTGGCTTATTAATTTGTTTATTACGTTTATATTGTGCCTTTCCTTTAAGGGAGGTAAGACGGGCGGGTTACACTGCCCTTTCTTTTTATCCTCCTAACAACAGCTCGGATAATAACGGTAGTTAAGGGCACCCCAGGGGTATGTATCCCTAACTCAGCATTTAAAATTAGTTTTCAGCCAGGATGCACGGCCCTCCCAGGGCGCTAATTTTGCCCTTTGAATCTTCAATCTTTTTTTTTTCCCTTCCGTTCCACCTTTCCCCGTGGGAGCTTCCGTGGCACGTGTGGAGCTGCGCCACGTACTGTGTGCATTGGCGAAAGAAGAGGATTTTAGACTACGCTTTGAGTGACGTCTCGGTTACCTTTGCCTTCTAGGCTGTATTTTTCTCTGCCAAAAGGCTCCCGCATCAGCGCGTGTTAGGAATCCTTCCCCTGCTTGGGAAATTGATCACCGCCATGGCGTCTTCTGCTTCTTTTGAATTCGGCACGTGTACACCTGTACATCGGGCGCACCTCCGCCTCTTACGACCTGCCTCATCTGCCCTTGCCGATTGTCCGACTGGAAAATCCTAGTTTGGTAACGAAACCTGGGCAAGAAAAAAACCACGAACCTCAGAACTCCCAAGGATGCTTTTTTTTTCCCCTCCCCCCCCCAAAAGGCAAGTGAACTTTGTTGGTTATTTTACTTTGCTCCAGCTTCTTGCATGAGAATCGAAAGTTTCCCAAGAAAAATAACCAGGAAAGTCCCGTTGCCTTTTGGGGAATTAAAAAAAAATCCCTTGGGACAATGGTGACCTGGATGATTGAGAATTTCTGTAGACACCAAGGCCAGAGAGCCAACAGGAATCCCATAGTATCAACCCTGACCTAACAAATATTATCTTCTCTCAGTACTGGAGAATCCACAGGGGTATCCCAGGAAAGGCGGGGGTCCCCCAGAGCACAGTTAAAAACATCAACGCTCTTACTTTATGCTGCAAGGAAATGGCAAGATTGTCTAGAGCAGTGATGGCGAACCTTTTAGAGACTGAGTGCCCCAAAACTGGCCCCGTCCCCGCTCCACCCTCCTGCCCTGCCCCCACTCTGCCCCCCATCCCCTGCCCCACCTGCCCACAGGACCACTCACTGCCTCCAGGGCCCACCGCAGATCGCCCAGGCAGCCCAGCAACGCTATGGCGACCACATCCTTTGCCCATGCCCTGCAACATCAATTGCATGATGAGGTGTGAGGGCAGAGTCTTGTCTACACTGCCTGGCTGCCATGTCCTTGGCTGCGCTGCTCTGTGTGGGCCACACTCGAGGGTGACTCTCCTTCAGGGGGGCTGCTGGAGAGGAGGGGGTCACGGGGGGAGGCAAGGCTGGGGCAACGGCACGTGTGCCCACAGAGAGGGCTCCGAGTGCTGCCTCTGGCACCCGTGCCATAGCTTCGCCACCACTGGTCTAGAGTCCCCCCAGAAACAGCTTTCATTTGTTTTATATTGTCCCTTTCTTTTGAGCAATTAACATGCAAGTAAGGTGTCTGCTGCTGAATTGGTTCCTTGTCTCTGCTAACACCCTCTGTGTCTTTGCCAGATGCTGAATAATTAAATTTAAGATTTATTTGAACATCCCTCCTACAAGCCAACTTGAAATTCGGGTGAATTCACTTTTAATAAGATCGAATCGACCGGTATTAAATCAAAAAGAAAGGAATTGAATGGTGGGGTCCTTGGTGCTCTCTGAGCTGGGTTGTTTTCTTTCAGATGTTTCGTTACCCATCTAGGTAACATCATCAGTGCTAGAAGAGGGTGAGGTTTTTCTCTTGTTTTCATATACAGGTCGTCCTTTAAGGACCGTTTGAAGTTACAACAACACTGAAAAAGTGACTTTTGACTGTTTTTCACACTTATGACCATTGCCACATCCTCACGGTCACGTGATCAAAATTCAGACGCTTGGCCAACTGATTCATACTTTGACGGTCACAGTGTTCCCTTTTGTGACCTTCTGACAAGCAAAGTTCAACGGGGGAAGCCGGATTCACAACAACTGTGTGATTAATTTAACAACTGCGGTGGTTCCCTTAACAAGTGTGGCTCGTAAAATCGAGCAAAACTCACTTAACAAATGTCTCACTTATCGACAGAAATTTTGGACTCAGTTGTGTCATGAGTCCAGGATAACCTGTATTAGTGGCTTGCTCTGTCAGTATTGGTGAGAACGTTCTTAGACTTAGACTTCTATGCCGCTTCAAAGTGCTTTACAGCCCTCTCTAAGCAGTTTACAGAGTCAGCCTCTTGCCCCCAACAATCTGGGTCCTCGTTTTACTGACCTCGGAAGGGTGGAAGGCCTTGAGCCACTCAGGATCGAACTGCAGGCAGTGGGCAGAGTTAGCCTGAAGTGCTGCGTTGTAACCACTGCGCCACCAGGGCTCCTTAGCTATATAGTTTTAGCTACTTTTACCTATGCATTGTCTTTTATTTCATTATTATTGTATACTGCCCAGAAACACTTCTTGTGAGATAGGCAGCTATATAAATGTGATAGATTAGATAGACAGGCAGGCAGACAGGCAGAGAGACAGGATCGAACTCCTGGCAGTACATTAATTAGGCTGTTGTGTGTTATTAGGTTGTTTGTCTGAGCCGGTTGTCGGTTGTGTGCTGTTAGGTTTTTTGTCTGAGCCGATAGTTCCTTGATTGGGGTATTGTTTACTTCCGGACTGTTGGTCTAGGCCAGGGGTAGACAACCTTGGCTCTTTTATGACTGGTGGACTTCAATACCCAGAATTCCTGAACTAGCCATACTGACTCAAGAATTCTGGGAGTTGAAGTCCACCAGTCATAAAAGAGCCAAGGTTGCCTACCTCTGCTCCAGTAGTGAGCTTAATGTGAATTGCTGAGGTGGAAGTGTTTTGGTCTTGACGTTTCCCCCTTTTTGGCTTTCTGATGGTCTCTTTTGAATGGCATGCAGATGTTGTTTATGTCCCTGTGCCTGTTGATGGCTGATGTGTCTTAAGAGCAGATTTCTAGGAATTCTCCAGCGCGTTTGGACTGCAGCTTAAGAAAAAAAAAATGTAGACTGCAAGAATTTGTCACCTATATATACTGCACTAACGTAGAGGAACGATTCCAAAATGATGAAACAGGCACCATCTTTGTGTGTTTGTTTCACAAAGCATCGCTCTCCACCGACAGCCTGGCTTTATTGAACCCACTTGTGTCTGAAATAGGGAGTAGGAGGAGGGCTGGTTACGTGCAAGTCCCCTCATAGCCAGAGCAAAATCCTTTTCTGTGCAATCTAATCCAGCAGGAGCCACGCGGAGAGGCCTCCAGACAGCCAGGAGAGGGGGATGGTGTGTGTGTGTGTGTGTGTGTGTGTGTGTGTGTGTGTGTGTGTGTGTGTCTGCATGTGCAGGACGCATTGCCCAGCAGCATGGATGCTTCTCCTCCATCCAGTGAATTATAAATGATTTTCCAGCCTATCGGAGGCACTTGAAGGAAAAGGTTAATGGGAGAAGAACTGATGACGCTTGGCAGCTTTAGGGAAAGTTGCGCCCGGTAGCAGGGTGTGTGTTTTCCATGCGTAGCAACCCAGTTGAACCTTTGGGGTTTCCGGCAAACATGTAGGAAAAGAGCTTTGCTGGTAAGATGATAGAAAACCCAAACACAAAGCTGTTAACATCGTGCTTAAGAGCTCAACCATCCATGGTTCCACGCTGGCTTTCTATACCTCTATACTTCCCTCTACCTAGTATAAGAGGGAAGGTTTATTTTGATTTTGATTTTATTTACTTATTTCATATCCTGCCTTTCTGATTTTGATAACTAGCTCAAGGTGACAAATACAGTACTCCTTCCTCTATCTGAAAAGTCCTCTATCTGTGCAACCAACCTGCAAATGCTAGCTTTGCATTTAGGATGTGGTGTTTACGTGTGGGCAAAGGATGTGCAAAAGTCTGGAAGGGTCTAGGTTCTCCTGCTTGTGCAGGGGGTTGGACTAGAAGACCTCCAAGGTCCCTTCCAACTCCTATTCTGATTCCCTGATTCCTCCTATTTTTCCAGGAACAACAGCCCAGTGAAGTGGGTTGAGCTGAGAGTGAGGGACTGGTCCAAAGTCACTCAGCTAACTTTCATGGCTAAGGTGGGCCTAGAACTCACCATCTCCTGGTCCGGTGCATTCGTTAAGCGAATCAGTTTTCCCCATTGGCTAGGAAGCTTGCAATCATATGCATTTGTTTAATCTAAATGTATGTGTTATATGAATGCTGATTTAAGCTTAGTCCAGGAAGAATTAGAATTCTCTTTGTGTGCATAAGAAAACAAATCTTCATGTATGGCTTCAGTGGGATTTCACTTCTGGAGTTAACTATCCATCGTACATGGGTTTAATTACATTAGTGTTTTTCCTCCAAGTTTCATCCTGTTAAAAAGTCTTTTGTCACCCATCTAGTAGAAGAGCCAGTAAAGAAAAATATTGTGAAAGACCGTGGTTGTAATGTCCCAACGATTTAGACTCAAACTGAGAAAAGGCACTCCTTCCAAAATATAAAATTTCTTTAACTAGCTTATGCTTTGAATCCTTACACTCTGGTTACTTAGGAAATAGGGACCCAAAGAAGTGGTAACATTCAAGATCTTAAATCCCATTAGAGTTTGCAAAATTGTAACTTACTGTTCCATTAGTGATTAATTTTTTATTATTATTTTATTTTCGTATCTTTCAGCTTGAGGGATTTTAATGGCTTTCAGGTAGAACTGAAGTGGAGACAATCGAAATGAATTCTATGGACAGACATATACAGCAAACTAATGACCGGCTGCAGTGTATAAAACAGGTAAATTAAAGATATGTCGTGGGGGGGGGGGAATTGGAGCTCTCAAACACGTTAAGGCATTACATGTCACAAGGAGTTTGTGTCAAATCCCTTAGTGTGACAGCGGTTCTCAAATACGATTCCATTTCTTCTTCAAATGTTCTCTATCCCAAATTGCTCATTCTGGAAAAGTGTTTGAAAACAGAGTAGGACAACTCGACGCAGAGCAGTTCAGCAAATACAAAAGTTAAATTAATTTCAATGGAACCGTGGCCAATAACACTAATAATAAAATAAAGAAAACTCAGTCCAGAAATACAAGAGTTACAATCATTTCGACAGAAATGCGCTCAAAATTTATTAAAAGTAACTGAATGAAAGGATCAATACAAGTATTCTGTTGGCTTGCGGTGAGCTGGTTGCGGGAAATTGTCCTAGATCAGTTCTCAACCTGTGGGTCGGGACTCCATTTGGGGTCAAACGACCATTTCACGGGGGTCGCCAAACAACGCAGTCCGCCATTTTTTCCCCCCTTTTCCTTAGCTGTGCTACTCCCTTTTCTTCTATTGGCTTTTGAAAGCCAATAGAATAGACTCTCTTGAATAGAGTCTAATGCTATTGGCTTTCAAAAGCCAATAGGAATTGTCCAGGCTGTCTCTGCCCTGCTGAACCCGCCAAAAGTCCCATTCTGCAAACGGTGCTGCACCAGTTGAGTAGTCCTCGACTTACGACCGGTTGGGGGTCGCGGCATTAAAAAGGTTGAGAACCACTGTCCTAGATCCTTTTGAGAAAGGGCAGTACAGTCTGTATAAAACTTCATGAGATGCTAAAAAAAAAAAAAAACAGCATCAGATTTGCACCGAATTCTGTATATACTGAACTGTCCTTACTTGGAAACTGTTGTGTAAAAAATGGATCCAGTGTGGAAGGTTACAAAGAACATGAAAAACAAACAAACAAACCTGTGTATCAAGTTTTCCCCTAAAGTAAATAAATTCTTGGACACCTGTTTTTTTTTGTTAAAAAATGTGGAATGTTTGCTAGAAGGCTTGTCTTCAGGACCAGTTTACGGAGGAACAACAAAATAAGTTCCAAGCAAATTACATACAAATTAAAAATTAATCCTCCTTGTCATCTGAATGGGCAAACGACTGGAAAGCATGATTAAATATGAAAGCGTAAAGCAGATGGGCTTGGGGAAAATGAAAATCAGTGTGACTTCGGGCAAATCATGAAAACATAGTCTCCTTAAGTTGAATTCGGCACCTGGCTAGGTTGCATCTGGTAGTCTTTGCAAAAAAAAAGAGGGGAAAAGGTGAGAAATCCTTCGTCAAGTACTTTTAATAGGCGCTTTTATTGATAGAATCATCATCATCATCATCATATATTTGCCTGAATTGAAGAGAAACAGCTTGGGGGAATAACAAAATGTCATGATTTGCAAATTGAAGTTGAATGATTGTGGAGGAAGAAACCAATGGTTGTCCCTATAGTAATAGGAGACCTTGGAGCAATACCCAAAGCGCTGCCGAAATACATGGAATTTTTGAACTTATTAGACCTGAATATTTTGACTTGGCAGAAAACCAGCCTACTTGGAGCCGCCTATATATTCAGACGCTGCCTTAACAGCTCTTAGGTCTTTGGTTAAGACTTGAACTGTTGAGTTTTCACCAGTCCCAGACTGTGAATCAAATAGAAGATTAAATCTTAAATAATGATGATGATGATGATGATGATAATGATGATGATAATAACAACAATAATAGTATAGTAATAGTAGTGGGGGTGGCAATATCTGGAGACAGCAGAATAGAAGAGAAAGAACTGGAGAAGATAACAAAATACAGAGACCTACAAATAGAACGACTGTGACAAAAGAAAGCAAAGGTAGTCCCAATAATAATAAGCGCCTTGGGTGCTATCCCCAAACAACTGGAGCCCCACTTGAACCCTGTTGGCATTGACAAATTCGTCACCTGTCAATTGCAAAAGGCAGCTTTACTTGGAACTGCTTTCATCCTGCGGCAATTTCATTAACACCATCCAGCATCCAGGTCTGCTTATCCCAGGTCCTTGGAAAAGACTCGATAGGTAGACCAAAATGCCAGTCTGAACATCTGGCTGACTATGCGATAAACCATAATAAGAGAATAACAGAGTTGGAAGGAACATTGGAGGTCTTCTAGTCCAGCCCCCTGCTCAAGCAGGAGACCCTATCCCATTTCAAACAAATGGCTGTCCACTCTCTTCTTAAAATCCTCCATTGATGGAGCACCCACAACTTCTGAAGGCAAAGCTGTTTCACCGATTGTTCAAATGTGTTGTAAAGCTGGAAACTGTCAGAAATGGTGTAGAGTCTCCTGCTTGGGTGGGGAGGGGGCGTTTGAACTAGATGACCTATAGGTCTCCTCTAACTCAATTCTAATTCTAAAATACAAAAAAGTGTAAACCAAACGGCCAAGATCTTGAGTGGGATGGTGGCTGTTAAGCTTCTTAAGAGGAATAGCAAGCCATTTAAAGCATGAATGAAACATTTGGGGGCATCTAATAAAAAGCCCCCTTTTTACAACCCTGTGTAATTTGGGATCCAGTCGGAAGGACTGGACGGAGCTGAGTGTTTACGGGCCAGATACTTGGGGAAATCTAACGGTGTTTAGATTTCCATATTACTGCATTTGGAAGCCCTCTTTTGTTTGGAAAAGTTGGTTTCCCCCAACTTTTCAGATCTCCTTCCTCATCAGAGATCTTGAAAACCTTTTCACATTTCTCATAACCCTCCAAAGTTCTCCCAAAAGTCAGGGAGAACTCAACTCAACAGTCTTCTTTCTAGTCCGGACAGTTTTAAATGCATCAGAAAAGAGAGGAGGGGGAGAGTTGGGGAGAGGGCTCATAATTCTTCTGGCTTCAGTTGCTGCCTATTTCAAGGAGACAGGCAGACTCTACTCCTGCCCTACATGAGGATATAAATGGTAATCTAGTCTGCTTGGAGTATCAAGTTCCAGCAAACAGGTCGAGGGAAGTTTCTTCTGTTTTTAACCCAGACATCACCCTCCCGTTGCCACAAGGGATTCGACAGCCTTTGAAAACACCCACGCTGCAATTTGCTCCACCCCTCAGGGTAGTTCTTGACTTACGAGGCCAACTTAGCCCAAGCGTTATGTTGCTAAGTGAGACATTTGTTTGGTCAGGTTTGCCTCTTTTGATGACCCTGCTGGCCACAATTGTTGAGTTAGAGCAGTGTTTCTCAACCTTGACAATTTTAAGGCATGTGGACTTCAACTCCCAGAATTCCACAGCCAGCATTGCTGGCTATGGAATTCTGGGAGTTGAAGTCCACATGCCTTAAAATTGTCAAGGTTGAGAAACACTGAGTTAAAGAGTTGCAGAGGCCACTTGGAGGAATGCAATGCATTAACAACAACAACAACAACAACAACAATAATAACAGAGTTGGAAGGGACCTTGGATGTCTTCTAGTCCAACTCGCTGCTCTAAATTTTAAAACTAATTTTAAAAGAAGGCAAACGACCAGCCGTCTGCAAGGAGTATAAGTCCTTCCCTTCCCCACCATCCAGTCAGAGCAGAAGAAGCTTCTTGGAGGAGAAGCGAAAGGTCTTCAAAGAAAAAACAAGAAAGTCCAATCGCCCCCTGAAAAAAAGCAACTTTGGGACATCAAGCTCATCAAACTCAACTGGACTCCCTTGGTTTCCCCCCCCCCCTTGGTAAACATTTTTGCTTCTCATCCAAGCAGCTTCTTCAGTTCAAGAGACAATTTTGAGGAAGAGATGATTGGTTGTTTTCTGACGTTCCTTGAGGCGTGAGGGGAAAGGAAGCTGTCTGTCTCCCAGAATAGATTTTAAAATATGCATTTTGTTAATTAAGGTGAAAAAGAGCTCATTTTTGTTCGTGTCCTTAGCCCAGGGGTGGGGAACCTTGGCTCTTTTATGACATGTTCTACCTATCCATCCACCCAACCTATCTATCTATCTATCTATCTATCTATCTATCTATCTATCTATCTATCCATCTATCTATCTATCTATCTATCCATCCATCCATCCATCCATCCATCCATCCCATCCCATCCATCCATCCATCCATCCATCCATCCATCCATCTATCTATCTATCTATCTATCTATCTATCTAATCTATTTATATCTTCTATCTATCTGTGTATACCTACTATCGATCTATTTAATCTATTTATATCTACTAGCTATCTAATCTATTTATATTTACTGTCTATATCTATCTATATCTGTTTAGCTATCTAGCTATCTATATCTATATCTATTTAATCTATATATCTACTATCTATATCTACTATCTATCCATTTCATCTATTTATATCTATCTCCATCCATCCATCAATCTAATCTATTTATTGTCTATCCATCCATCCATCCATCCATCCATATAATCTATTTATACTTATTGTCTGTCTATCTATCTATCTATCTATCTATCTATCTATCTATCTATCTATCTATCTATCTATCCATCCATCCATCCATCTATCTACCTGCAAAAGAGAGGTAGGAGAGAACATGCAACTCATATGAATTACACCTAATTAAAGGTTTCTTTCTTACAATCCTCCGTGGGGAGGGGGGTGAGTTACCATGAGTGTTGTGTGTGCTTTCATGCACTCTGAAAATCCAGCTCTTTCAAAGGGCCTACTTTGGATCTGAAGTATGGATACAACATCTGAGACCCTGTCAAATCTGTCTCCATTTGACTTATTTCCACATGGATTAGCAAGGATCCTCCAAGGCTGTAAATCAAACATGTCAAGGCTGCAGCAAGCTTGTGTATTACTCTGAGTTCCCTGCAAACATTTTAATATCTGTCTAATTTTATGAGTCCTCTTCAACCTAGGATACTTTATCTCTTTTTTCTATCTCTAGTGCCTCTTCCCCAGTGAAGTGTGCTCAAGACAAAACTGTCACAATGACAAAGGCCTACCTCTGAATATTCCAGAAAGGGTTGATCTTTCCTCCCAAATATGTTTTCTTT